TCCCTGGAATCCCTGTACTCCTGGGGCAGGGGATCCCTGGAATCCCTGGAATCCCTGGAGTCCCTGTACTCCTGGGGCAGGGGATCCCTGGAATCCCTGGAATCCCTGTACTCCTGGGGCAGGGGATCCCTGGAATCCCTGGAATCCCTGTACTCCTGAGGCAGGGGATCCCTGGAATCCCTGGAATCCCTGTATTCCTGAGGCAGGGGATCCCTGGAATCCCTGGAGTCCTGGAGCAGGAGATCCCTGGAATCCCTGGAATCCCTGTACTCCCCAGAGTCCTTGGAATCCTCGAGTTTCCTGGACTCCCTGTAATCCCCAGAATCCCTGGAATCCCTGTACTTCTGGGGCAGGGGATCCCTGTACTTCCTGTATTCCCTGTACTCCCCGTATTCCCCAGGATCCCTGTATTCCCTGTATTCCCCGGGATCCCTGCCCTCCCCAGGACCCCCGGGAATGTGATCCCACCTGTACTCCCTGCCCTCCCCAGGTATCCCTGCCCTCCCCAGGACCCCCAGGACCCCCCGGGAATGCGATCCCACCTGTACTCCCTGTATTCCCTGGGATCCCTGCCCTCCCCAGGATCCCTGCCCTCCCCAGGACCCCCGGGAACACAATCCCACCTGTACTCCCTGTATTCCCAGGTATCCCTGCCCTCCCCAGGACCCCCGGGAACGCACTCCCACCTGTACTCCCTGTATTCCCCAGGATCCCTGTACTCCCTGGGATCCCTGCCCTCCCCAGGTATCCCTGCCCTCCCCAGGACCCCCAGGACCCCCAGTCCCACCTGTACTCCCTGTATTCCCTGGGATCCCTGTATTCCCCAGGATCCCTGCCCTCCCCAGGACCCCCAGGACCCCCGGGAACACAATCCCACCTGTACTCCCTGTATTCCCCAGGATCCCTGTATTCCCCGGGATCCCTGTATTCCCTGGGATCCCTGTATTCCCTGGGATCCCTGCCCTCCCCAGGACCCCCAGTCCCACCTGTACTCCCTGTATTCCCTGGGATCCCTGTATTCCCCAGGATCCCTGCCCTCCCCAGGACCCCCAGGAACACAATCCCACCTGTACTCCCTGTATTCCCTGGGATCCCTGTACTCCCTGGGATCCCTGCCCTCCCCAGGACCCCCAGGACCCCCCGAACCCCCGGTCCCACCTGTACTCCCTGTATTCCCTGGGATCCCTGTATTCCGTGGGATCCCTGCCCTCCCCAGGACCCCCAGGACCCCCAGGACCCCTGGGAACACAGTCCCACCTGTACTCCCTGTATTCCCAGGTATCCCTGCCCTCCCCAGGACCCCCAGGACCCCCGGGACCCCCAGTCCCACCTGTACTCCCTGTATTCCCAGGTATCCCTGCCCTCCCCAGGACCCCCAGGACCCCCAGGACCCCCAGAGCCCCCAGTCCCACCTGTACTCCCTGTATTCCCTGGGATCCCTGCCCTCCCTAGGATCCCTGCCCTCCCCAGGACCCCCGGGAATGTGATCCCACCTGTACTCCCTGTATTCCCCAGGTATCCCTGCCCTCCCCAGGACCCCCAGGAATGCGATCCCACCCGTACTCCCTGTATTCCCAGGTATCCCTGCCCTCCCCAGGACCCCCGGGAACACGATCCCACCTGTACTCCCTGTATTCCCTGGGATCCCTGTATTCCCCGGGATCCCTGCCCTCCCCAGGACCCCCAGAACCCCCCGGGAATGTGATCCCATCTGTACTCCCTGTATTCCCCAGGATCCCTGTATTCCCTGTAATCCCCGGGATCCCTGCCCTCCCCAGGACCCCCGGGAACGCACTCCCACCTGTACTCCCTGTATTCCCCGGGATCCCTGCCCTCCCCAGGACCCCCAGGACCCCCAGTCCCACCTGTACTCCCTGTATTCCCTGGGATCCCTGTATTCCCCGGGATCCCTGTATTCCCTGGGATCTCTGCCCTCCCCAGGACCCCCAGGACCCCCAGAACCCCCAGTCCCACCTGTACTCCCTGTATTCCCTGGGATCCCTGTACTCCCTGTATTCCCTGGGATCCCTGCCCTCCCCAGGACCCCCAGGACCCCCAGGACCCCCGGGAACACAATCCCACCTGTACTCCCTGTATTCCCAGGTATCCCTGCCCTCCCCAGGACCCCCAGGACCCCCCGGACCCCCGGTCCCACCTGTACTCCCTCTCCTGCAGGATCTCGACGGGGTCGAGGCCGCGGGGTTTCTGGATGGGGGTGATGCGGTTCTGTTTGGGGTGCATGGGCAGGGCGGGCG